GACCATAATTTTGACAATCCCCTATTTGATGTTACAGGCAGGATGGGTTCTAGTGTTGAGAGGTGACTAGTACATAGGTTTTGCTTTGCTCGTGCTGCATGTCTTCCTCAAATCCAGGGTACGCAGTCTCGGTAAAAGGGACCACGCACGCGCCCGAAACGACTGCCCTAAACTCTCTATCTAAATCCCAAATCCTCAACCCTGTACCACAAGCACGCTGCTAATTCTCCTCCAGAAGTGCCACCGCAAGCAAAGCTTCTGCAAGGAAGAGGATATCAAGGCCAAGAAAGCCCTCAGAGAGAAGAAGGACGCAGGGGTTTTACTTCACACCATACTTCACACCATGTGCAAGTGAACTATCACCCCGTGCTCCCCACATATTCTGCAGAACCCCAAACCCTAAAGTTCAGCCCCCAAGCATGCGCTCAAAACCCTACAACCAAGATATCCCCAGATTTGAATTGGGTTACAGGCTTCGAAGTCTCAGAAAGAGACAGAGGCCAAGGACGGCGAAGAGCCGAAGGGCGAGGAGAAGGCTGTGTCACACGGTTCAGGGTTCAAAGTCTTTATGCCCTAAACCCTACATAGGGGTTTCCTAAAATTAGGGGTACCCTTTTTAAGGGTTCCCATAATAAGGATTATAGTATTTTGGGGTCTACATTGGGGTCCCCCTATTTTGGGAAACTACCACATAGGGCTTCAGGGGCAAGCTATAAGGACCTCTCACCCAACCTGACCACCCAAACGGCGGTTTACATAGAGTAGGATGTACGTTTAGGGTTTAGGGGTAGTTCCAACATTGGCTTTTGCTTGAAATTTGAAATGTTGCAAATTAGCCATGGCTTAGCCGTATGGCACAGGCGTTTCAAGTAACATCTCATAGGGGAATGCGGCGTGGCCGCCTTGTGGCCATCAATCTGGAATAGGGAGAGTGGGCGTTTATCCCCATTTGGCTGCCCTAATGGCATGATCTGTTTCATTGCATTTACAAGACACCCAGATAGCGGCGCAGAATTCTGAGAAGCCCAGAGAATCAGATAATTTGCGTGCAAAGCCGGCGCAGGTTCCCAAGACAGTGGAGAACTTCCGTCGCATCCTTGGTCCGGCTGGCATTGCCCCACTATGGTTTAGGGGTTTAGGGGTTTAGGGCTTTAGGCCTTTAGGGGTTTAGGGGTTTAGGGTTTAGGGTGTAGGGTTCTGGTTTGGATTACGCCAGTCCCTGGCCCTATGAATGAATGGTAAATACTCATCCGGAGGCCTAAGCTCCTTGAAGATCGCTTTTGAAAGGGAAACACTATTGTCGAAAAGAGCCACTCAGCTCACCCTGCTCAACCTGATATTGAAGTACATGGGTGTTGAGGAAACTGGGAAGGTTCTAGTCAAGAACCAAAATCATGGATAAGGGATCTCCTTGATCCAGGTTTTCTGGTGGCTTTTGTTTTTTTTTGCTTGGGCGGTTTGGCCAAGGGTTTTATATCACAGACTGACAGGGAAGTCTGGTCATGATTGGGGATTTCGTTTCTTTCCTGGATGGCTCTTATTGTTTTATAAGGCTCTAGGACAGGAGCTTATGTCAAGTAATCTTCTCCACGGAACCCGACTCAACTAGTTAATTACCATACCAAGTAGAACCATTGGAACTTATTGGCTCATTTTGGGATCCCAGTTTGAACAGGGTTGCTTGTATAGTCTGAAAATGCAGCAGGTTTTAGTGCAGGTGAAGGAAATCTTGCACCACCTTATGTCGTTGATTCGGACCCCTTTTGGTGCTGAATTATGGTACCTAATATTCAGGGGCACCCCGATAAGATCTTAATTTCGGAAACTAATCATACAGGCCCAACAGCCCAAGAAGTAACCCACTGCTGGGATCCGAAGTGCTAGCATCCACGCTGCCACTGTGGTTCATAGGCTTTCCCCCCGATAGCAAGTAATATTTCACACCCTAAGCTCAAAGCCCTAAACCCTAATACCTGAACCCTAAACCCTACATCCTAATGCTAATACTATTTCGAGCTGAGGTGGGCGAGGAGCTTGCTTACAAGGGGGCAGGTGTTTAGGCCCACGTAGGTGTGGGCTTTAAGGTTTGTTGAGTGTTGTTAAGGGTTTGTAAGATTTTTTGTGGTGGTGTTTGGATGTTTTTTAGTCAGTTTGTTGGGTTTGTAAGGTTGCTTAAGGATTTTGACCGGTTGAAAGATCTTCAGTTTTTGTTTATAATTCGGGTCTTGAGCGCTTTTAGGTTTTTGGGTTTTTAGGGTTTCAGGGTGGTGCCCCTAAGATTGTACCCCGAAGCTGGGCTATACATGCCGGGGCAGTTGCCCCATAATGTAAACAACCCAAACTTATTATGCAATTCGGAGGCGCAGGTAAAGTTTGGGACCTTGAACCCACTGAAGCCTCTAGGGTAGGTACAACCCCAAGGTTTTTCTGAGATGCCAGGCTTCTGCAGCCGACCTATACATCTATACCCTAACAGTTTATTAGGGTACCTAACTTAATGCCTAACAACTTAATATCATGCAAATTAGCTACCCTAAAAAAGGGATAGGGTATAGGGGGCTAGGTAGGTCTATGGGTTCTATGGGTTCAGGGACACGGCAAAACCGCGTCATCCCTGCGTAGGGAGCCCGAGAAGGGGACGACCTGGACTTCCTGAAGGGGAAACGCATGAAGGGCAAGGGTGGCGGCAAAGGCAAGCCTGGCCCTCCTCCAGCCAAAGCACCTTGTGGTCACGGACACCACGGCTGCTGTCATGCTTGACATGCAGGCTCGCTTGATGCGCTGTGAAGGCATGCTGGAGCACTACAGCCAGGAACTGCACCCCCAGGGACAGCAGTTCATGTTCCTGACGCAATGGAGCCAGCAGTTCGTGCCAATGCCTGTGCACACCTACGCGAAGTTCTTACACGCAAACTGGCCTGTCTTCGGCCTCGAGAACCTCAACGATGACGCCAAGCTGAAGAGAGCCGCTAACGGTTTAAGGGCTTGGGGTCTAAGGGTTTAGGGTTTAGGGTTCAGGGTTTAGGGTAAAGCAACCAATACAGCATGTATAAGCTACTGTGAAGATTTGGGTTACCAAGGGACCGTTGAGAGTTGACATAGAGGTCGTTGTGGTAGTTTGATACAGTCCCTCACATACTCCCTAACAGGGCTCCATGTCCACTAGTTATATGGTGAATTTTGAGTATACTTTTATACCAATCAATCAAACAATCAATCAATCAATCAATCGATCTATCTATCTAGCTATAGGCTCGAAGTATAAAGCCCCATGTGGCCCCAAAGCATGTGCTACATAGGCTAGTGACCCCCCTGAAAATGCTAGTTATCCCGCCAATAGTCTTGCATGGGAAGCCCTGAAACCCCAAGCTTTCTACAGCCATTCTCCCCCTCCAAATGTTTAAGCCACCCAAACACTGTGACCCTTCAACCCTAATTCCACAAACCCTAGAAACCCCCGCAGCTCGAAAATCTAAACCCGTAAACCACCAAACTCTAAAGCTTTCAGGCTCTACACCTCTAAACGCTAAACACCTGAACTGCATCCCTTAGCCACGCTTTCCCCCAAGCCGTGATCCCTACATTTGCCGAGACTTGCATATGCAACCCCCCCCAAAAAGGGCCGTACATCTGCAGGGAGACGTCGTTTAGGGTTTAGGGCTTGATCAGGGTTTCAGAAAAATCTCTGGGGTCTAGAGTCTAGGGTTTAAGGCCTAAGGGGTTGGGGTTTAAGGCTTGAAGGCTTAGGGCTTAGGGCTTAGGGTTTAGGGTTTAGGGTTTAGGGTTAAGGGTTAAGGCTTAAGGGGTTGGGGTTTAAGGCTTGATTTAATGGAAAAGAAAATGGAAGCTACTATATTGGGGTTATATTGGAATAATGGAGAATAAAATGGAAACTACTATTTAGTCTTTAGAAAGTCTAGGCTTCAGGGTTTACGGCTTAAAGGTTTAGGCTTTAGGGTTCAGGGTCAGAGATTCTGATCCCCAAACTAATGTGGAAGTCCCAAACAGGGGCCCTGATCCTGACCAGACTACTGTCATTTCTAAGGGTCAGACTGTCATGCTTGTTTGGGGAACGGTAAAGCCTAAGCCCCAAACCCTATACATAACCACGGCTCCCTACATTGTACATTTTTATGCCCGTGTAAGACCCCAAACTCTGAAGCTTAAACCCTGAACCCTGAGTCCTAAACCCTAAATCCTAAACCCTAAATTCGCTTCCCTGAACCCTTAACCCTAAACCATAAACCCAACATCCTAAACCTTTAAGCCCAACATCCTAAACCCTAAATCCTCTTCCCCGAACCCTAAACCCTAAACTTTTATCGGCCCAGGCGCTCTCTGTACGGGAGAGAAGGGCTTCGGCTACAAGGGCTCCAAATTCCACCGCGTCATCAAGGACCACACTATCCCTTGGGCTCCAAATCGCCCAATGTGGGTTTAGGATTCAGGGTATAGGGTTTAGGGTTTAAGGCTTAGGGCTTAAGGCTCCAAATAGCCCAATGTAGGTACCCTAGGATGGGTTTAGGGTTTAGGGTCCCAAAAAGCTTAGTGTAGGTAATATTCATAAACTTTGGAGCCCAATGTAGGTATTATTTGTATACTTGGATCCCTAAATAGCCCCTTTTTATAACCTCATGTTCCATTTCATTTTCCAATTTCTTTTCCATTTGATTCTCCATTATTGGTATATAGCCTTGCAGCCCCAGGGAATGATCATGACGGTCTAGGTTTTAGGGTTTAGGCTCATCAAGCCCCACGCAATCAAGGCTTCAAAGTTCCTAGGCCTTTACGAAACTAGAAGGCTGGGGAAACAGAGTTATGATGATAACGGCCATGCTGATGTTGTTGATGATCGATCGGTTGTGTCTATATATACATACACATGTATGTACAGTGTGTTGTTACTATAGTACACGTTTTATACGTATATACAGACTACAGCTTGAACCCTAATCCGAGCTCGACTCAGTTCATACGCCTCCTTAACCCAGCATTAGGGTTTAGGGCCCTTCTTCACCCAATATGAGAGTGTCTCCACTGAGAGCCCTGCAATCTTGAAACTCAAAGGACCCGCATTTCATTTCCATGGTCTATAACTGCGACTTGAAGTACCTTGGTGGTAACTTTATTGGGCCCCAAGTATTTATCATATACCCGCATGAGTAGAATGGTCCCCAACGATGAAGAAGCGTGTCTTCCAGTTCTCTTTTTTGGTTACAGCATTGCATTAGAAGGTTCTAGTCAGCCTTGGTTTTGCCACCGAAGAAACAGGTAGCCAAATGGACCCTCAGGATTAGGTCCCGAGTGCTCCCTACTTTGGGGAACCCTAAACCCTCAACTCAGAACCAGGTTTTGGATTGTGGGCAGTTCTAGTAAAGTTTAGTAGGATGCAGGGACTAGAGATTAGTTAGGGTTTCGGGATTAGGGTATTTAGGGATGAGGGTTTATAAAGATTAGACCTTGAAGCCCAAATGGGAGCAGATGGGCCCCGGCTTTTTGGACCCCTACCCCTTCTTGCTGGGGATTAGCAGGGAATAAAAGAACAGATTTCATAGGGACTAAATAGGGAGTATATTTGCAAGTCTGGTTGGAGCTGCCTAACTTCGTCTAGTGCTTCCTAAAAACAAAACGGGTAGAAGGGTCTAGTTGGTATGCTAAACCCTTCCGCAGCCACGCCAATCAAGGTACAATTTTGTAATCGCACAGTCAACCTTCCGAACTGAAAGCATGGCGCTGACCACTCCGCTGACAGAGCTCTTCAAGATCAAGCACCCTGTCATGCTGGCCGGCATGGTGCCGAAGCTGCAGCATGTGGGAGGGGCGGTCAGTTGTTCGGGGTTTCTACGGTTTAGAGTTGAAAGTTCTAGGCAAAGCATTTCCATGATTGTTTGGAGGGGGGGTGTTGTGCCGCTGCGAGGACGGGGCACATTTGCTTGGGTGTTGGGCAGTCGAGAGTAAAAGCATTTCGGGCGGGTGCCAAAATTGGTGCCCATAGCATCAAACGAGATAAACCCAAACCCAAAACCTTGTCTTAGAGAACCACGAAGCATAGTCCAGGGCTACACCCACGATTCATGCCCAATGACTAGCATTTAGAAGGATACCATATGATCCCGAATTGGCGGAGAATCTAATGGCAAACGACATGGACTATGACATGAAAACTGCGACTGACTATATATATATATATAAACAAACACACACCCACCCACACCCACCCA